GCAAGCGTTACAGTAAGTCTGGCACATTGGGTGATTCTAGTCTAGGCTCAGAAGACCACAATATTTATTTGAATTAGCAGAGTAAAAACTGCTCCAGATAGGTATGAAGTCTTTATTAGTTAATGGACGAGAGGAAATGTCTATTACATGCAGTCAAGGACATATTTACACTCTGTGTCCGAATATTGTCTGAGTCTAAATTTAAAGACACTAGACCGGTTAATCTGGTGAAGGAAATTTCAAGGCAATGCAGTGTTGAATCTATGGAATGTAGGTATTGCAGGCTGCATTTAGTCAGATTTACAGTGAGAATTAGGAACAAAAGCTAGAGCTGAAACATCTGAAAAGTTGTGGTTTAGCCAGAAAAGAAGCACACTTAAAGTTGATGTGGTTGCTACAGAGATTAACAACATTAAAAACTTTTCACCAGACAATGAGAAAGATACCTTTAAGTCATCTCGAAAATCAACAAGACTCCACCCATTGTAGGCTCAATCAAGGGTGTACAAAGGCTCCTTTGAAAAACTTTGAATAGATATTCCCACAACAGCCTGCTCACTGAGGGCCACTCATGAAAGTGATCTCTATGTTCAACCATTCAGAGACGCAGAGAGGGCTGCAGCTGTGGTCCATGGGGCTAGGCTGCAGTTCAAGCTGCTAGAAGACTTTGGCACCTTGCAGGTAATGCTGGTTTTGCAGGCATGCAAGATGCAAGAATTACAGAATCATAGCAATATTCAACCTGACTTCAGAGGCCATCCTGGGAAGCCAGATGATACGTGGCAAAGTCAAAATCTCTGCTAGAAGTCTCTGAGAGGGTTATAAATGGTCCTGTGAGTGAAACCAGAGCTGCAATGGAGACATCAGAAGTTGGAGAGGCCAGCAAAGTGAACCAGCTGAGCTGCAGCGTAAAGCTGAGAGATTGTGTGGGCTGCAGCATGGGCAAAGGCAGAGCTACCCAGACCCTTGGGAGCATTCACCGTGCTGCCACGTGTCCTGGATGCAGAACAGGGGGCACCAGGACTGTACCCTTGCTCTGCTGAATTCCGGTCTGATTTCTATTTCCCTATTCCTCCCTCTTGGAATGGAAATGTTTACTCAATGCTATTATAACCCTGGAAGTGTACAACTTGTTTATTTTTACAAGGACTCACAGCTAAGAGTTGCCTCAGAAAAGACTGGATTTTTGAGAGATGCTGAAACATTCCAGACTGTAGGAACTCTTCCAGTTGGAGCGAATGGATTTTTCACTATAAGATACACATTAACTGTTGGGGCTGGAGCAGAATGTAATGGCTTCAATCAAAAATGACCCTGAAAGGCTCATGTGTTCAGAGGTGGGGATGCTGGAAGGTAATTAGATCACAGAACACTAAAATCATCAACTATTGATCAGTTCATAGCTGAATATGCTCATTTTTGTCTCTGATGCTTTCCTTTCGTCGAGGCCTCTACCTTCTGCTTTGTGGCTACCTTGAGGCTGTTGGCTGCCAGGCCTCCTATTAACAATGTTTCTGTTTTACAGCCAGGTGACTATGGACTGAATCTTCTGAAACTATGACCAAACTAAACCTTCCCTTCTTAAGGTACTTTGTTTTAGCAAAAGAAAGGTGAGTGATATAACCGCCATGACCTAAAGGCTTCATAATAGGACCCAACTTTTAAAAGATCTATCATCTCTCAAAATTGCAATCATGAGACCAGCCCCGGTCTTCTGTTATATCCAAATCATAGTATGCACAAACATAATTTTATCACTTACAGAGTTCTAATCCATTCAACATTGAAATAACTTCAAAAGACAAAGTAGAAGCACTAAACAATATATAATTGTAAAAGGTATTAGCTAATTTAAAATTATACTAAGAATATAGTACCCCCATCTTTTCTCTTTTCCTTATTTGTGCTGCTCAGACTACTTTGGCTATCTGAGGAACTTGCTTACAGTTTTATGGTTCTCTCAATCAAGAGACTAGACATTTCTCCAAGAGTTTGGGGACTAGAAATTTACGTTTAAATAATCTCCCATGTTATTTTCACATATAATGATTCAACCAAATCTCAGAGTAGCCAAAGAATATTCTAAAGATTTGAGACAAAAAAAAAAAGAATGTTTTAAAGTCAAATTAGGTTGACAATATTAAAAACAGAGAATCACACTCTTAGTTTATCTAAAATCCTTTTTAATAAGGTGGGGTGCTGTATTAGTTTTCCCATTGCTGGGACATAATACCCTATACTCACAACATAGAAAGTTTATTTTGCTCACAGTTTCAGAGGATTCAGTCCACAGCTGGTTGGCTCCAAAGCAGGAATATCGTGACAGAGGTGTGAGGCATAAGAAATATACTTAGTTCACGGTGGCCGGGAAGCAGGCAGGGGAAGGGCACCACAGAGGACGGGGTGATGGGCCCAAGGTCACACTTCCGGGACCCACCCAAACACACCTGAAAGTGTGCTGTGTCAACTACCTCAGCAGCTCCCACATCAATCACGTGGATACAAGCTTAGCCACCAGAGAGAGGAGTAAAGGAACATTAAAAGTTAAACTGTAGTAAAAAGAGACAGACATACTTTCTAATTAAATGACAATCTGCTTTATAATGAGAACTTTATAATGGCAATGACCTCAGAAGGCTTGGGGAACAATTTTCTTATTTACAGCTGAGGAAACAGACTTTAAACCATGGTTAAAAAGCAGCACAATCCAGACTGTAGACCTCTCACAATCCTGTAGCCCTTTTATCACTTCGATTGCTATACTATCAATGATCTAGGAACATTCAACTAATTTAGTCTATTTTTTTTATTTCCTACAGAATTAGATAATAGTGGTATTGAGAAAATGTTTATTTTGAAAAAATACACAGAATAGAGACCATTCTAAAAATTCTTAACTGAAACCAATGTAGTCAATAATACATTTCTCTTATAAAAATTAAGATGTTACTTCCTGTTACTTTGGCATATTGTGGTTCATTATAATAAGCTCAGATATTTGTAATACATTATGATAGAATTATTGGTTCCCAACACCTTTTGATGACATCTATATGGCTCCCTATAGGTTTATCAATCTTGCTGTTCAATGACCGGATTTAGCCACAGAACATGAACACATTACATAAGTACCATATCCCAGAGGGAGTCAATGCATTTCATACTGCTGCCAGGTCTACTGCAGTCCCCTCTGCCATCAGAGGTGCAAGGTGTCTGCCAGTTAGTATCTTCTTATTCAGACTATGTCTTGGCAGAGTAAACCAGAATCAGAACCACACTCTGCCACGAGACCATAGCAGCGTCACGCCACCATCAGGGAGAGACACATGTTGCTGAATGTCACTAAAATTTTTGAGGTTGTTACTCATTTTAGCCCAACAAAAGCTAACATATAAACACATAACTGAGCTTAAATCTGGAGCAAAAATCTGGTAACTGCAGTAGAAAGATATCAAAAGTAAAATCTCTGCGGTCTCCAGATGAATTTTCTAAAATGTTTAAATATCTTATCAGTGTACCTGCAAAGACATTAATACTAGAATGTTCTTTAGAGCTTGGTATATGATAGGCATATATTTGAATTATGGTTATTTTTGTTTAGAAAATAGGTGTAATGAATCTAAATGACAATTTCATTATATAAACTTGCACCAACATCTAAAAAGGAAATGTCACAATTTATCTGGGTGTACAATTTTTAAGGACCATAGAAAATGGGAATTTTTAAAAATACGGAAAGCCCACAAACCTGTGATTCATATCAGCTTTACATCAGCAAAACAAATTTGATTCGTTATAAAGTTTTTGAAAGCTTTTAATATTCATTACTTTCCTGCCTAGATTATTAAATGTTTACAAAATTTCCTTTTAATTTTATTCTTGGATGCATCAAAAGGCAAACAAGAATTTTGAAGGACTACATGACTGCAGAAAATACCAGTTCTGGAGGAAAGCTAACTCTACCTTATTATGTCCTTTTTTAGAAATTATAATCAATGTTTAACAACTTCACCTAGCAGTGATGACTGGAAGCCAATTCATATTTGCTTGAAAAAGCAAAACATGTGAATCTCATCTCAACTCAGCATTAAGTGACTTCACACCGACAGTTTGAAATCAGCCATAGTGGGAGCATTTACAGGGCAAAACTGGAAAGGAACATGAATCAGGGCTGTTTTCTCCCAGAAAGATGGCTAAATGTTTATCTATGTACCGTCAGACAAGAAATTCACCTTTGGTCCTTTAATGTTTAAAATATTTGAACAACAGTCCAGGTTTGTTATGATGAGAGATGGAAGGCTACAGAATTACAACAAAGCTAATGCTACCAAAACGTTAGATCTCGAAGTACCTAGGAAGGGGGTCTGTGGTGCTCCTGGAGCACTTTCCACTGACTCTAGACCCTGATGGACCTGGAGCAGGAAACAAGACAGAGAAGGGAAACCACAAGACATTTTGAGAGACAGAAGTCATCTAACACCCGAATAGTTTTCTTTTCTGGATAACTGTGTATGGCCATACATACACTCTATGAGGAAGATAACATATGGTAGATACATGTTGTAAGTTCTTTCAATTTCGCACGTATTTCTGATTATAAGGACTCAGGGGTATTTCCTTTGGGTTTTACTGAGTAGAACTATGTTTAGCACTTTTTTTAAAATTTTATTTAAGAGGAAAAAGAGAAAAACACAAAACAAAACAAAGCGGTGTAAGGGTACACATAATACAGAACTACAAAAAAAAAAAACATAACAGTAAGAAATCACCTGTTAATAGATTACATATTATCATCTTGGAAATAGTTGCTCAAATCACAGTATCAAAGAATACAAAGTGGACATTCAAACAGAGAGACTGCAAACAGCTGTGTTCAATGATCCAAAAACATTAATATAGTCAGCTATTTAACACCCCTAAACACACTTGCTGTTATATCCGTTAGAGCTCTTTTTTTTCCCCTCTCTGTGTTTAGCACTTTTAAACAAACATACCAGGGCTTAAACAATATCAATTCTTTATTTGGGGTATCAGTAAACTAAAACATCTCAAGTAAGAATGATGTGCTAGAATTTATGTGACTATTAACAATTCTTAGTCTTCATCATAATCTTAGCAGCAATTTTTAAAATACAGTAAGCATTACAGAAATGTAACTTCCCACATAAGAAATATTTAGCAAAATAAACACATACTTAAATGGAAGTTAGGTACATATATAGAAGTATATTAAACTACACATATAAAATTCACATAAAGTATTTTAGAAAAATGATTTTTATAGTAAATTACCCATTTCCTTCATTCATAGCTTTTGGCAAAACAGATATTAGAAGTATACTTTTTTTTTTGGTACCGAGGATTGAACTCATGATTTTGCGCTTGCCAGCCAAGGTGCTTATGCCGCTGAACTAAATCCCCGGCACTTTTACAAAGCATATTACATATTAAACATTTTTAGAAGTCACTGATCAGTTTAACATAAAATTTCTACTTTTTTCTACTACTATACAATTAATAAAGTGGTTTATGGAATAGCACAGCATGTAAATATTTGACATAATGGTAAAATTTACAAATACTAACAATCATCACATGATACAGCAGTTACTTTTAATTTCCCAATTATGAGACCATAATTCTTTTTCATATCATTTTAGCATAGCAAAAGCAAATACATATCCTAAAAATCAAATGCATGAATAAAATTGATCTTAGCTAATAACTCAAAATAAAACACAATCATGCTCAGATGTATTCTGTGTATGTAGGGTATGTATGGTCTTGTACATGCTAGGCAAATGTTCTACTAGCTATACATTCATTCCAGGAACAATTAGTCCACTTTTTCCTAAGTAACAAATAGAAAACAATTATTGGACTGGGGATTAGCTCAGGGGCATATATGCCTGCTTGGCAAAAACAAGGTAGTGAGTTTTAGCCCTAGTACTAAAAAAAAAAAAAAAAAAAAAAAAAGAATTATTAAACTACAATGCATAATCTTTTCACGTTTTTTTCACGTTTGTTATACGTTAACCTGGTAAATATATTTTCATAATATTCCATATAGTGCTTTACTGGCATTTCCCAAACTGTGAAAAACAAGTTTCCAAAATATATTGACAAGTATTACACAGAAGATATAAATCCTAATTACCTGAACATTATAGTGTCCATTGCAAATAGGGCCCATAGTTCAGCACACAAAAGATACCTAATTTTGCTTAACCTATTTTATTTGAAGTTTATTTTATTACAGAATTTTTTCTAGGCACACACAATTTTGAAAATTGCTCTATGATTTATATGCATTCTCTATACCCAAGCTCCCCATGCTTGGCACAAAGCTGTCAACTTACAAACTAAATGGGAGGATCAATGCCTTTCCATGTGGCATTCACTCCCTCCTAGCTCACCAATAGTTTGGGGATGACTAAGAACTGTAGAACAATTTAAGAGCTGATCAGTAATGAGACGATTGGTTTTTACAAAAATCAAATACTTCCTTTGTCAGTAAAAGAGGAAAACACTGTATCAAGTTTTGGTTTAAGTAACAAAACAGCTTTTAAGTAAATACATTTTAGTTTGGCAAAATAACGAAGAAGGCATAAAGAAGTGACAGTGTTAACTTATTGTAATGTTCATTTAATTGTAGAGTCATGTAATTTCAGAGTTTAAAATGCACATATGCTAATGTAATTTCAGTGTGTGGGTAGATTGTTAAATGTTCTGTACATATCAGATGATTCTCATTTAATTTATATGGGCTTTTATATACATCTACTGACCTAAACTTTCCATTATATTTAGCAGCATCCTAAAATGACAAGTATTAGAAGTGACTTATGCTAACAAAATAATTTTTATTCTAAAGCACAGAATAATATAAATAAGTCATTACCCACTAAACATTTTTATTCAAATAAAATTTAAAACATTTCAGTCAGTTGTCTCTACACGTTTTGTCTTTGGTGTATTTTACTTGATTTATCAGACCATATGATTGCAATGATTTTATATTTTTCTTTAAATGTTTAGCCATTTCACTATTTTACATTACTTTATAAAACAGATTTAAATAACACTGAAAATATCAATTTTGAGAAAACTATCCTTATCCTTTCAAAATACAGTCAAACCACTTAAACAATTTGTGTTTCATTCTGTTTTGTTTTGTCTTGCAGTACCAGGGCTTGAACCGGGGGTGCCCTACTACTGAGGCTGTATTTCCCATCCCTTACACTTTTGGAGTAGAGTCTCACTAAGTTTGACCAAACCAGACTTGAATTTGAGATCCACAGCCTCCATACTAGCTGGTTTTATACATGTGTACCACTGCACCAACTACTAATAGTATTTATATATATAAAAGTTTAAGCCCAAAGTTCACACTTATAGACAAATATCACAAACATATTTTCGGCTGTGCCAAGGAAAAATCTTGGCTTTGACTACATTTACAAAAAGTATATAATAAATCATAAACTATGAATAAAGTAAATGACTCCTAACAGAACACTAACTATTGCCAAAAAAAACCCTAAATTATTCTAATAGCTATGGTTTTATTTATAATCTAGAATTGTAGCAGTGTGTTGTCAATATGCAAATGAGGTGACAACTGACAGATATGGATCACTGCCCAAATTTTCAGGGTGGTTAAAAAGTTCCTCTGAGGTACCAATATTAAATGTGCTAAAAGAGAAGAAAAGTAAATGCAATTAATAATAAAAGTGTGATAAATAGCTTTTAAAATAAAAATAGATTAGTAATAGGCATCTCCTAATAACTTCAAGAAAAAATGAAGAGCCAAATACTCATTATTAATATTCATGGTAGCCAAATGTAACTTTCACTGACTTTTCTTGCTTAGAATTATTACACATGCAAATATGAATTTTTGGCTGTAGTTTATGAAAAAATAAAACCTTTTTTAAAATTATTTTTTATTTTGTACCAGGGATCAAAGTCACAACCACGCGCTTGCAAGGCAGGTGATTATGCCACTGAGCTAAATCCCAGGCCAATAAAAGTACTTTTGCAATCAGCTTTTACTATCAATGTATTGGTTCACATCTAGGTTCTCCGCAGAAAAGGAAAGATATCAACTGTCTAAAGCGTATGTTTTTAAGATACTTCAGAACAACTCACATGGGAGATCATTTATTCTCTCAAGCAGGGTCAGGGACATGTCTTTGTTACTAGCCTCTGACAGAATAGGAAAATTTATCTTAGCAAAATTCTAATATATAATAATACAAAATTTCAAGTAGTTGTAAAAGCTAACCAAATCATTTGGATTCAAATTCTAATGAACTGTGATTCTCCATAAATTCTTACTGAATCTAAGACAATAAAATGTTGCTCTTTATTTTAAAATATAAGTAGTAAAATGAAAAAGATAACTTTAAGAACAACTGAGTGCAGCTTATAGAATCAAAAATGGACAAACCACAATTTCCTAACTTGAGAATACCCTAGGACAGGGATTAAGTTGCAAATACAATCCCTGAGCCAAATCCACCCTGTTCCATTACTGCAATTTTCTAATGGCTGGAGGAAAGAAGTACTTTAAAAGGATAATGCCATTTCATAACCCACAAAACTATGTAAAATCAACTTTCAGTGTCTGTAGGAAAATTTTATTGGAAGAGGGCCACATTCATTCGTGTTATCTGTGACTGCTTTCACACCTCAATGGCGGACTTGAACAGGTGGCAGACTTACTGGGCACTCTCTTCATTCTGCACTGCTGCTTGGCACACTCCAAACTGCAATGATGCAGTTACTGCTACCAACATTTTGAGTAACAAACATAGTGTAAAACCACACTTTAAAAAACTGTTTTCTTTTTTTTTTTTTTTTTTTTTTTTGTCTCTTTCCTTTTTATTGGTACCAAGGATCGAACTCACAACTGCCTGCTTGCAAGGTAGGCGCTTATGCCGCTGAGCTAAATCCCCAGCCCCTAAAAAAGTTTTTATACCACTGTTTATCCATAATGCTAAGAGAAGAATAAAGGAGAAATGTGAACTTCAAATGGCATGGTTTTGGGATATAATACAGTAAGGATGATTTTATTAAGAAATTCGGCAATGAAGTATGGTGCTGAACATACAATGACACAATGGTTATCCCAAATGAACACTTTCTATGTTAGAACTACCAGACTAAACATATTATATCACAATATTCTCAATTCACAGGAATGCAGTATTTATAAAAATTAGAAAATTTAAAATAACTCATCATAGAAGATTTAGTTGGAAAAAAATGAAAATAAAGCTACAATCAAAGTAAGTAACTGGTGTGCCACACAAGGAAAGCCTTTTACCAAAGTAAGTTAATTAACTTGTATTTAACTGCATCAGCTGAAGAAATGTGTACAGAGCAAACTAGCTAAGACTATTAAATTGGCCTTTTGGCAAGAACAGTTGCTTGCGGAATGAAGAACACAGATAGCAACATCAACAGTCAACAGGAAAACAAGGCAAATGACTCCACATGGTTTTTCTTGGCTTCTGATGAGTCAACAGACACTACTGATACTGCCTGGCTATTGTTTATGTGATGGGTCAGTGCCAGAGTAGAAGTAATAGTTAATCTCTATAAATAGTCTGTGTAGCACAATTATATGTAAGAATGTTTTCTAAGAAGAAAATACAAATTCTGCAGAACCTGCAATAGACTCTAAGACATGTTACAAATGTTGGTAGTAAAAATCTGAGTACAGGTTTATAAAAAAGCAAAGCCTGTGAAAATGTAAAATGTTTAAAACCTGTGATTATTTATTTTATTAGTCATTACAAATACTCTCAGATGTGTCTCACTCCATTTTTTGTTACTGAATTCACAGTGTCAATAGAAATTGAGACTAAAATCAACACAAAGGATCAATGAATCAAATAATTGGTTCTCTAAAAGAATAAACAAGATTGATAGACCCTCAGCCAGACTTACTGAAAAACTGGGAAAAAATTCAATTAGAAATGAGGAAGGCAAAAATCACAACTGATACTGCCGAAATCCAGAGAACTGTAAGAAAACTACTTTGAAGATGCCCCAACCCTTGGGAAACCTAGAGGAAATGGAGAGCTTCCTAGAATACAGATGCATTAACAAAACTGAGCCAAGAAGAAACAAAAACTTAAATAGACCAATAAAAGGAAATGAAATACAGGCAGTATAAAAATGCTACCGACAAAGACAAGCTCAAGGCTCAGTGGATTTACAGAGAATTCTATGAGAACTTCCAGGAAGATCTAACATCAATATTCCTCAAACTCTTCATTGAAACTGAAAGAGAAGGAGTACCATCAAACTCATTCCTGGAAGCCAGCATTACCCTGACAGCAAAATTGCACAAAGATTTAACAAAAACAGAAAAATATGGGCCAATCTTCTTAAGGAACACAAGTACAAACATCCTCAACAAGATGTTGGCAAACATCAAAAACCCTGACCAATGACCTTAATCTCAACCTGATAAAATGCACTTAAGTCAAAAAGATTGCCAACATTATACCGAATGGGGAAAAAGCTGAAAGTTTTTTCTCTAAAATCAGGAATAAAAAAAGTATGTCCACCATTACCACTGCTGCTCAATATAGTACAGTGGTACCTCAGTTCACAAACTTAATTTTTTCCACAACTCTGGGTACAACCAGATTTGCAAGCATATGCATACTATACTTCAGCGACAGCAGTAAGAAATTTTTAAAAAATACATGTAAGAAATGAATAAGTCCTATTCCTAGATGACATAATCCTTTACACAGAAGATCCAAAAACTCAACAAAATACTCACAGAATTAATAAATTTAAAAAAGTAGCAGAATTCAAAGTCAAATATAAAGACCAACAATGAATCCACCAACAAAGAAATTATGATCTTAATTCCATTCATAACAGCTTTAAAATTTAAATACTTATGAATTAGCCTAACCAAGGAAGAGATCTCTATATGGAATTTATAATGCTCCAAGCTACATCTTAAGCCCTTAAGGTCAACTTAGATGATAGGAAACACCAACACTGAATCCCAATTAAGTGAAATGTTATCTTCCAAAGCATTTAATTCTTCCCATTACTATAGCCATAGTCCAAAAGTTCTCAATTATATCTTGAATTTATCAACCAAAATTTGTGAAACTTTGTTTTATTTAAGTAGCTACAAAATAATCTCAGCTTTGTCTCTTCGCTCATAAACACTCCTTTTACAGAAAAGAATTTCTGACCTCTGCTGGGTCCATCTCTAGCCAGCTCTTTGCTCAGAAGCAAATGCCTCAATCTTCTTTTGCTCTAGTTTCCTCATCTGCAGCTTAATGGATGTATTTTACAGGGTTAGCAGGAGGATTAGATAAGTCAGTAAATGTACAACAGGGAACAGTGCCTGGAGCTAAGTAATTATTCACCTAATTGGGAGCTGCTAGTGTAAGATAAAAGTAGACTTAACACATAGATGTCTTTTTATATGCAGAAGATTAATCCTTTCCTATTTCAAAATTCATATAACATTCTTCATATTCTATAGTATAAATACATCATTATTAGCAATACTTTGTAACACTTTAAAAATACATGCCAACTTAATAATGTATATAAATATTATATTCTTAGTCACTCAATAAATAGGTACTTGAGTTTAATATTTGCCATATGTATAAATTTGCTAGCTTAAGAATTTTTAGGGAGGGGCTGGGGATTTAGCTCAGCAGCATAAGCACCTGCCTTGCAAGCAGGCAGTCGTGAGTTTGATCCCCAGTACCGATAGAAAAAGACAAAAAAAAATTTTTTTAGGGAAAAAGTGGATTTGTATACGTACCTTCAAAAACTGCTGATACACATTAACTGCTAAGGTGCTTTTTCTTAAATAATAACAAAAGAAATCTGAAAGCACTGCTACCCAAGCAAACTCCCTGCAATAATGGAAATATTCTACATTCATGTGTCTAACAAACTATTAGCTAGCCTCATATGACTACTGAAAAACTGAAATGTGGCTTGGTATAAACTGGGCAACTATATTCTAAATTAAATTGAGCTGAAGTTAAATAGCCAGTTAGCACAGTTCTGCAGAGTCACCATATTGCATGTGAAGATTGGAATATATTTTATCATAATAGAAAAATACATTCTGGAATACTGTACAGTTAATATTAGTTTCTATTCAAAACAGCCCTGCTCTTTCATGCCACACATACTTTACCCTCTTGTTTTGTTTTGTGGTGCTGGAGACTGAAGTTTGGGCCATGAACAGACCAGGCAAGTGCTCTACCACTGAACTATATATACTCAGTTTTTTTTATTTGATTTTTATTCATTTATTTTTTGAGACAAGGTCTTGCTAGGCTACCCTTGGATAACCACAAACTAGTGATCCTCCTATTCAGCCTCCTGTGTAGCTAGGATTATAGATGTGCACCACCATACTTGGCCTGTCTATATTCTTTTTGTTTTGTTTCTTTTTTGAGACGACGTCTTGCTCTGTAGTCCCAGTTAGTGATGAACTTACCATGTAGCCCACACTAGCTGTGAACTCACAGCAATCCTCCTGCCTCAGCCTCTCGTGTCCTGGAATTACAGGTATGGACTACCATCCCTGGCTACTACAGTCTATACTCATAATAGCAGAATTAAATCAATTCATGCCTTAACAAAGCAATGTTTTTAAAATTTTTTCTCTCCTCTCCTATCATCCATTAACTATGGCTACATTTTAACTATTTAAAGTATTGAGGCACATGCAAAAACACATACACATACATATATACATACAAATGAAATCTCTATATATGATTTTCTACATGTAAACAAAATCCACATATAATGCAGAATCCTTAAACCTTTTCCTTTGGCAAACTTTTAAGGCATTAAGTTAATATGAAATTAATTCAATTAGTGGCTTTACTTTTCATACTTGATTATGCTTATGTTCTTATAATAGCCTGATATAGCAGTAAACTAGATAAATCTATTAGAAGTGGAAAAACTATTAATTTTCCCAATTAGCTGTGACAATTGTTATACCAAAAAACATTTGTCAGATCATAAGGCTGAATAAGGTACCCTTACATTGAAGTGTGAAAAATCAACTTTATTTTTCCATAAATATCATGATATTAAATTGTTCAATGTTCATTTAAAAATAAGTTAAAGTGCTCCTGTATTACTCTTATAACACATAATTACTGATTAAAGCATAATACCACAGGTTAACATAAGGCAAAAATATCAGCAACTCATTTATTTCTGAAAAACAGTTCCAATATTTTAGGAGAACATTTCTTTACATTTTACTTAATTCAATGGGGAATTTCATATTTTTCCTTTAAAATCTGCAAATTTCTCAATTGTCATCACTATAAAAATTAAAGAAAGAAACCAAACCCAAAATAAAACTCTACAAAAAAAAACATTTTTAAAATTACAGAACATATACGAGGTCACTGAGTAAAGCTCTTTTTTATAAATACTTTTGGAAAGCTTGCATTCAGTTCCAGCACAGCTCTGTTATCAATCTGTGAGCAGAAGGACACGTCAAGCAAGGAAAGATCTTTACAGGATTCCAGGAGCTTTCTTAAGGATGCCGGACTTACCATTCTTGTTCCTGTTTTTTAAAAAAAACAAACAAAACATCTTAAGTATAGCATTCATCAAATATCTTAATAATCCTTTTATTGTTTATTTCAAAAACACAACATAAATGACCTTTTAAAAATTAAAAGCAATTGTTTTCAAACAAGAAACTTCCTATTGGAGGGCTGTGGATGTGAGTACCTCAGTAGCAGAGCACGAGCGTGCTGGGGAACCAAGACCAGCATCTGTTCAGTCCACGCACTACCCCAAAACCAAACCAAACCAAAGCTTCACGCTGAAATGGCTCTGTTTAATAAAAGGAAGCCTGAATGTTCCCAAGCACCTATGACTTAAATGCGGTCAATCCTCTGCCCACCACCTTCATTCCTACTTACGATCTTTTCCAATTGGCTCTTACAGAGAGTCCTGCTTCTACTGTCCAGCTGTTTTATCTCTGCAAAACGGTTTTCACATCTCATTTGCCTTGACCTATGGGTCAAATGTGGCAGCCATACCTACAATAATTCAACCGTGCAAAGTAATCACTGAGTAACTATTTAACTAATGGTTGTGAGTATCTGTATTAGGCACTGGAAATGCCAAGATAAACAAGACAACCTTTGCCTTAAGAACGCAATGACCAGGGTTGAAAACAAATAAATACAACACCATTTGGTAAATTTTACACTGAGATGTTATGCAATAATACTACTAGAAAATAAATGGATGATGAGTTAGTTTAGCCAATGTTAAACTCGAAGTGAATATGGTTTATTTGATTGAAAAATAAATTATGTAAAGCATCTGACACATGTCAGGTACTTAATAAAGGTAAAATATAACTTGAGTCTAAGCAGTTATCTGCTGCTTTAATTACAACTTTCCTGGGGAGAAACAATCACAGTTATACCATATATGCACATCTACTGAGAGATGCTCTTGGATTTCTTAAATACCAACCTAAGCTTACTGTCTGAGGATGTCTTCCTATTCCCCTTTCCATCATGGACTCCAGAGCTATAAATACACAGTCATGCTACCTGTGACTACCCAGGAGTTGAAGCCATCTGGATTCCCCTGGAAATTTAAAATTGGAATTCAGCAAACCTTAAGAAATAAAGATCCATAGATCTTTATTTCTAAAAACATACAAAGCTGGATGGATCTGCTGTATTTAGCGATTTGTGCCCAGAGGAGCACAGACTGCTAGCCTGACGAGAAAAGAGCAAGACAAAACCAAGGAGGAAGAGCCAGCAGGGCTTCTGTGAATGTACCGTGGCAGAGGCTGGGGAGGGTACAAGTGCTGGAGCACACAGGATAGGAAAAGTGGACCAGAGAGAAAACAGCCTGCCTGCCTTTCACGGTTTCCAGTTCTGAGATCTCTTCAGAGCTTCTACTCATGGGATTCAAGAGATACAAGTGCATCTTCATAATAACTTTCTTTTCTTATGCTTAAATTATCTCCAGTGGCCTTCTTTTATGTAAGATCAGAGAATCTCAACCTTGGCTCTTACCTAGGTAGGGTTTTTGTGCCTACTGTTATGACTGGTTTCTATTTGCTACTGAGTACCCTAATAAATGAGTTCCCGAAGCCTAACAGTGTGTCTGTGAAGGGATTCATGGATTTATTACAAATCACCTATCCTTCCACATGACTGCACTTTTGTCCACAGTTATTTGTCAGCTTACGCCATCAGGTAAGATATGGCAGGAGCCGCATCTACCTTGATCACTGTGATATCTGCAATACTGAAAACAATGCCTCAGATCGTGCATGATGAACAGATGTGTGCTGAATGGAGGCGGTTGACTAATTTTCTAACATCAGCTTTGGATCGTCTGGACTATGAAAAAAATTTCTGATTTTAATTTCTTCCTTCTCCAATCTATCTGTTACCTGTTTATAGATTAATAGTCCTAAAATACGTCATATATATCACACATACCCGATCAAAATCCTGTAGTAGTTATTCCTTGGTTAATTTTGTAAATTGCTTACTGCAATGTGCAAAATTTTCCACGAAACTCTCCATTTTACTAACATGGTAAGTCAAATTAGACTGTCTATCCTGTGAAGATACAATGTATTTTCAAATTCTATACTTTTGTCCCATGCTGTTTCTTCTGCTTAGAATGCCCTGTTCCTATTTTATATTCCTTCACAAAGATATCTTTAAAATATCTATTAATCTTTTAAATCAATCGTTTCCTTAATTTTGGAATTTTACATATATATTCTTTCTTTTCTCAGCCCCATCAAAATGGACTTGCCTCTTTCTTGCATTTCATTTGTGGTTGTTTTTCTTCTTCTTCCTATGTTAAGAACTCTTTGAAGGGGATTCGAGCAAAGATGGCAGATAGATAACAGCAGGCTACTGAGGCTCCCTGAGATAGTCGACTTAGAATTCAACATAATACAGTGCCGGGAACCCGAACAGAGGGAGATGAATTCTCTCGTTCCAAGAAGAAACTAAGGTGAGAAGAACCAATCAAACATACAGCCCCAGTGCTATTATTGGAACAGCTAAAGGTTCAGGGCTCCCACCTCAGCGGGCGAATTGCGAGCGGTCCAAGGTCCCGGTGATTTGACTCACTGGAGGCACAGTCACACTGAGGTCAGGGGTCAGCCAGCCAAATGGAGAAATGAGCTGGCGAGGAGCCTGCATCGACCTGTGGTGAGTGACAAGTGGAACCATTCCACAAAAAGGGGTGCTCCGGCAGACGACATTCTGAGACTGGGTAGGACTGGCAAGTAAAAGGGGCAGCAGTGACTTCAGTCAGTTGTTCCCGTCCCAAACGGGATTGGTGGAGTGAGCTAAGCCTGGGTCACATGACCTGGCTGAGACCCAATAGGTTATCTGAAATCAAGTCCCTACAGCGGTGGTGCACATTAACCACACTAAAGCAGTGAAGCCTCAGAAGTTTGACTGACCCGGAGGGGAGGTGGCACAAAGTAATACAGTACAGGCCTCAGCAGCTTGACTGATCTGGAGGGAAGGGCCAGCATATGATGCCCCTGCTTGTAATTCACTAGCATACTGCATTGGGAAGGGTCACCTAGCCAGCATGTTTCAGAAGAACTGTAACCAACAAAGAAAGAAACTGGGGCCTCATGGAAGAAACAAAAAAGATAGGAAGAGGAAGCAACAACAAAAAGTCCCCAGGTCCCAAACCTGAGAACACTGACCCAGGACAGGTAAATACAAAGGAGAATGAGGACAGCTAACATGCAACATCAGACACAGCACCAGTAGACATAAGGAGATATCTTCAGGACCTCATAGATGAGTTCAAAAGGGAAATATTTAGCCAAGTAAAGCAAGATATAAGAAGATTAATAAAAGAGATGCTAAGTACCCCTCAAGAAGACACAGACGGAAGAAGGGAGGAACTCAAACAAAGGAGAGAACCATTTGATAAAGAATGTAAAGAAAATAAAGAATACATGAAGCAGATTCAAAGAAATTAAAAACTCTATGGAAAGATGGAAATTCAGGAAATTCAAGAAATTAAAAACTATGGAAAGATGGAAAATCTGCTTGAAAGAAACTAAGGATAGATTATTCAAACTGGAGGACAGTTTTGCAATGTGGGATTATGAAGGAAAAAATTTTAAAAGTAACAAGGAAACAAGCAGTAACAATACAAAGGCTAGAAGATGACAAAAGGATCTATAAGTTGAGAATAAAGAATGTGAATGAAGAAGCAGGAGTACCAACAAAAGAACTACAAAGGCTAGTCACAGAAATAATTAAGGAAAACTTCCCAAACATAGGAAAAGGAAATGATATTCTGATATATGAGGCATACAGAACTCCAGCCACCTACAACCAAAACAAAGCTACATCCAGGCATATAATAATCAAGATCCCAGAAATTCAACTTAAGAACAAAATATTAAAAGCTGTTAGAGACAAGAAACAGACAACCTACAAAAGAAGGCCCATCAGAATAACGACAGACTTCTGGACACAAACCATCAAATCAAGAAGAGCCTGGAGCGAAATATTCCAAGCCCTGAAAGAAAATAACCTCCAGCCTAGATTGATACACCCTGCTGAACTATCTCTAGCAATCAATGGAGAAACAAGATGCTTCCAAGACAAAGAGGAACTTGGGAAATTCACAACCACCAATCCAAATCTACAGAAAATACTGCAGGGCATCCTAGAGAGAAAGAAAAGCACTAGGATTCCAGGAACAGTGGCAGAGAGGCCTCAGTGAATGGAGCAGAAAACAGAGTGAAGAAGATAAGCAGACAACTGATGGCAAAAAAAGGATATAACAAAATGAGGCAGAGAAGGTTGGTTATAATCTCCAATATAGATGGCCTTGATACACTAAATTAGAAAAAAAAAAAAAAAAAAAAAGAACCACACGTGGAGTAGATCAGGAGGCAGAGTCTACCCAGACACTATTTACAGGAAATATAATTAACATGAAAAAGAGTACATGGACTGAAAATCAAATATGAGAAAACAATGTTCTATGTGACAAAGAACCAGAGAGTAATAGGGGCAACTAGACCAGTACTTGTGGATAGGTTAGAAAGACAGGCTTTAATAGGTAAAGAAACACAATTAGAGATAAGTCCAGGAGAGAAAAGGTTCAGGACCACTTAGGTAAATAGCAGGTTGCGCCCCCACCCCCCCCCCCCATTTAAAAGCAAGGCTCTTGGTCAGACCCCAAAATGCACAGTGTACCCTGGGGAAGTGAAAGGGGAGGGAGAGTGTTAAAAAAGAGGGCAGAAGATATTGTTTAAAACCCACATTACTCGCACCACTCTGCTTAGATTTTATTCTGTCCCAGTTTGTATACTTGCATTAGGGTTGAGGGCACAGACAGCTATCCCAAAAACATTACGATATAGCACAGTAATCATCTTTAATTTCCTATTAACCTAATCTGGAGCCCTGTATGACTTATACTGTTTTATCATGACTTATTTTAGTTAACTCTGCTTTGTTTGATTGCTGTTTGGTATCGACAGATTTTATTCAAAACTGATATGATTGATAGTATTAAGTCTGAGAGTATAGGCAACTACACTGAAGATGACAAGATTCTATGATACACAATCTGGTTTGATAACTGCCTGTTTTTGAAGTTTTATACTATATACAAAGTTGTATTTTTATTAATAGTTATGTACTAATATATTCAATTATACTATGTCTGATGATATAGCCAATTCTATTGAAGATAACAAGAGACAACACAGGAACCATGGTACAACTCCTTGTACAACAGTCTTATATGTCTTTTTTGTTTCATGTGTTTGTAGGAATATGTTTTGTTTTGCCTTGCTTTGTTTTGTTTCTCCCTCTAATATAGGAAGGATGTTAAGACTCATGCATGTGTAGAATCTATAAATAAGTTTATGAGAACCGATCTTATAACACATGATGAAATGAACAGAAACTCTGAAGAAAAAGAGACACTTAAAGCACCCAGTGCTGATCCTGGAGTGTCATAATGTAAAACCCAGCAATAGTATCTTTCTTTGTTCAGAGTGATATTAGCCTGCTTGGGTTTGCTCAATCTCAACATAAATGAAGATATGGATAACTGCACGTATGCTAAGTGTATAGGATTGATGACCATATTTCTAAATTTTGTTGGATAGTTGAACAGAACTGGTTGCAGTCTCACCGAATCCCCACTTTATATGCTCCACTTTAGTATCTTGAATAACTATTTGTAAGAGGACAATCTGTAATCATCAACTAGTGATTTCTTACTGTTTACTTTTTTCTTTGAATGTATTATTTCTACCCATTTTCTATTTTGTTTAGTCTTTCTTTAAATAAAATTTTAAAAAAGAACTCTTTGAAGGTAAAAATATACACAGTGTCTTACTTAGTTTTACGGTGATAAGCACTATTTTCATAATTTTTATGTGAGAAAAGACAGAAAAGCACAACAAAAAGCAAAAGAGACAAAGAAGAACAACCCCAGAACAGTAACAGTATAAGTTTTCAAAACAAGATAATCGGAATTTAACAATGGTTGCAACATTACATATTGTTACCTTCAAAAGGGTACAGACATGTAAAAGTGATCTAACCATGTAAGTATTAACTATTCTTTTCCAAGAACTAATACAATTAGCAGTATAGTCCTTTTAGCTGTCTTATCTATAACTATACATATTTATGTCTTTTTCCTTTTCCTTTCCTTCTTTCCACAATGTGAATGAAGTAGGACTGCCACTTAGTACTCATGTAAAACAATGACTACAAACTAAGGACTACTGGTTTTGTTGAATGAAAAATCTGTATTTAAAAAAAAAAAAAACTCTAACACATAAGGATTAAAGAGAGCAAAGAAAACACACTTCAGTGATTAGGAGATGAGAGTTTGGTTCAAATCTAAATTGTACCATTACTAGCTATGACACTGAGCAAATCAGTTAATTTGTTTGTGCCTGTTTCCTCATGTATGGCTAAAAATAACTACCCTACTAGGCTGTGAGGATTAATCTGGTTACTATCGCCCATTAACAATATACAGCACACAATTATGGTTATTATTATTAATCATTTATTATTGTTTACTGTGCTCTTTAGATTTAAGAAATATATTCAGATATATTCATATGGTGGCTGTCTTTCATCAATTTTTATGGTACAATAAATGAAACTTCCTTGCTTTATGTTCATGAAAGTTAAAGGTGCTAAATGTTAAAAATGTTTTCATTATACCTCTTATATTTTTATGGTATAATAAATGAAACTTCCTTGTTTTATACCCATGAAAGTTAAAGGTGCTAAATGTTAAAAATGTTTTCATTATACGCCTTTTTATCTTATGTGAAGTCATTTGTGCATTCACTAGGTCAACATTAGGCCACCCCAAAACTGACCCTACCTTCACCCCGTGGGCACTGGTTCAGGACCAGTGCTCCTGCCTGCTTTGTGGCCCTGTAGCATCTCTTCCAGTTGTTGGAACTGCTCATATCTAGTGCTGTATATGACATTTTTATTTAAGGAGGGTACTGTAAAACAGATTTTAAGCAGCAATAGCATTATCTTATGCAGTGAAACGTGTATCCATTTTTAAAGACCTTTGCTGCTTTTCCTTGTTCTTATAAATTCATGACTTCTTCTTAAGCTTCTCAAAATATTTATCTCATAACAGGTTTACAACAGTGCAAGTGGGAAGATATGTAGAAAGGAGGGAAAAAAGTTAGTGGGTGTGGGGTATGACTCCCCAGGGCACAAAACGTTACATATCAGAAACCAAAGCAACAGCCTCCAAAGTTTCTGCATCTCAAAAGAAATCTCCAGCATAGTGAAAAGAAAACCCCACACTGGGAAAAAATCATAGTGAACTGTCCCTTAGACAAAGGTCTTCTGTCTAAAACATAAAGAATTAAAAAATCAGATCCCCGAAATTCAAAGATCCAATCCAAAAATGGGCATCTGAGATGAATACACAGTTCTCAGATGAAGAAATACAAATGGAAAATAAATACATGAAAAAATGTTCGGCATCGTTAGTCATTACAGAAATGCAAATTAAAACAACACTGAGATTCCATCTCACTCCAGAGAGAATGGCCAGGATCAAGGAAACTACCAACAAATGCTGGAAAGGCTGTGGGGGAAAAGGAACTCTCCTGCAATGTTGGTGAGAGTGTAGACTGGTGCAGCCACTGTGGAGGTCAGTCTGGAGATTCCTCAAAAAGCTGGGATTAGAGGTCCCATTCAACCCAGCTATTCCACTTCTGGGCAAGATTCCCATAAGAACTGAAAATATCATACCACAGTGATATACGTGCAACCATGTTTATAGCAGCACAATTTATAATAGCCAGATCTTGGAAACAACCTAAGTGTCCATCAAATGAGGAATGGATAAAAAAGCTGTGGTATTTTTATATAATGGAGTACTACTCAGCTATAAAGAATGATCACATTGAGATATTTACTAATAAATGGGCACAACTTGAGACCATACTCATAAGCGAAATCACTCCAACTCACATGTATAAATACCGTATAGTCTCCCTAGCGTAAGAAATAGTAAGAGTACATAAGAGTTTATGGTAATCATGATTCCCCTTACATTGTTTTTAAACCTTACAATGATCACATTGGTTAGCTGTAATGGGTTTGTCCTTGTTTGTTTGATTTTATTATCTGTGAGGTATGAACAGCTAATTTGAGGGAAACAAGTCATTATAACAGCCAGTACTGGTATAATATCATCTTACTATGAAGTCTTACCATGCTTTTGTTCTTCTGTTTCCATTGGCTCTATCATGTTGTACCTTATTGGATTGTATTATGTAATGGAAGTATAAACAAATTTTCTATGGAAAATGAGATAATATAGTAGCCATTGTTTGTTTTCTGCTATTTGGTTCTGAATACTCTGTGATACTCTTATTCTCTTGAATGTTTTTATGCTATTTTTTTTATGTTTGATACTATTGTATATGAAGTTATACTCAACTATTTTAAAGGAAGAGACATTGTGGTAGTTACTGTTAATTACGAGTTGTCTTCTAGTGAAATTCTGTGTTGCTTACATTGTACTGTTCTGATCTGCTTTGTTATGTCCTGTTTTGTCTTAATCTCTTTAAAATTAAAAATTCAGTTGCTACCTTAATTATGCAAGTTGATCCTTCTGCATATCCTTATCTCTGTATTTTGCAGAGATATTTTCCCCCTACCTAGCTAGCTAGCTCACGTTACTTATATAATTCCTACCCACCCCCACTCCCATACCCTCTCCCCCCATCCTCACTGTCACTCATCCTCAAGCCACCCCCCTTCTTCACATTTGTCCACACATCTTCAGGGGGACTGGACTACGACCCTTTGACTGCCCTTCATTTGGAATATGTTTTGGTGTCTTTACTCTCGCCATGGATTGCATTGGAGGTGGTAGATTAAAATTAACTTGCTAGGATTCCAATAATGTCTCAATAGGATTGTAAATAGAACTTTTTGGATTGTGAGGAAAACTAAAAAAGGGATTATAATATTGGATAACTATACTCAACATTTTGGATTACAATATTAGTCATTAAAAAAGAGGAAAGAATATATAAGTACCTTATAGACTAATCTGTTAGCACCTACATTACCAGGAAGCACAGTTCAAGTGTCACATGAGTTCACCAACTGTGTGGGCAAGGATGACACCTCTGCTAAGGGAGGAAAAAGGTAATCAAATATCAAAGGGTTCCTCACTGATGAATTAGTTAAGAACACAAGGAATTCCAAAGGTGGAAAGAATTTTTGAGATAACTGCCTTGGGACTGGGGATTTAGCTCAGCGGCGTAAGTGCCTACCTTGCAAGCAGGCAGTCGTGAGTTTGATCCCCAGTACCGATAAAAATGAAAAAGCCAAAAAAAAAGAGAGATAACTGCCTTGAGGTAGAACTAGTCGGAAAAACTAGAATTATCAGGGATGGAAATTTCACAATATCCCATAATCAAAAGTTCAACATTAAGAAGATAAAAAAAAGTCCAGCTTGAATTTATTATACAAATGAATTCATTTCTTTCTTTTTGTCACCAACATACAGAGAACATGGGTCATGTGAATTCTCACTCTTCTAAGTAGATCAACAATTCACAGTTATTCAGAGCTTTTGCCAGTTGTGAGGGTAAAATTATGTTACTGTCCTATTATACTGAAGTACATATATAACTGTTCTCTATAAATCTATCTTACACAATCAAATTAAGCAGTATTATCTGAACAAAATTTAAATTTTTTTCTTCCTTGCAAAAAGTCCTAGATGAGATTTCATGTCAAGGAACCAGGTTTTAAAATGTTCGTATGCAGCATTCCTACCTAGTATGTCCAGTTGCCGTAGTCGCGTACAATTAGATGCCAGTTCTTGTATGTCTGTATCACACACAGACCTGTTAGCAGTAAGGAAGAGTTTCTGCAAGTTTGGGAGCTGGCGTGCCAATTTCGCGAAGCACCCGGTGCTGCTCTGTAGAGTAGGACACCAGCCAAGATCAAGTTCTTCCAGAAGTGGACACCCAGAAGCCAGTTCTGCTATTCCATTCTCAGTAATATTTTTACATCTCCACAGATCCAGCGTCTTGAGTTTTTTACACTTGGCTCCTATCATGCTTGCTATCACATCATAATCTTCAATCTGAAAATCAAATAAATGCAACCTTTTGTATGTTTTGCTCAGAAATGTAAGTGATTTATAGCTAGTCAGAACATCCTTAATCATCTCTTACTGTTTGCTTCCACTTAAACATATTCATATCCTGGTTAATACAAATCTGTCTATATATCTCAGAGATCTATCACTTTTTCATGAAATAGCAAGAGAAATCACTCACTTTTTAATGTACCCTGCAGCAGTCTGAAGTCTTCAGTCTCTCAAGAAGAACTTGAGGATTATGTGTTATTTTGTTTAAGCTTACAGTTTTGACCTTGTTGCTGTTACTTGGTGGAGTCTAGCTTCTGCTATTTTACTTATGATTAATATACTCAGATAGGTATACAATATTTCTCTGATGAAGCTATGTACTTGGTAGGCTCAAACTGTCTAATGTCAACAGTGCTATTTAGGAAAATTTTAGATTAAGTGGGACATTTATGGACTGAACATAAACATGAAAATAACGTACATTATACAGTAATATGTTAATCATTATTGTTATCAGAGTTATCCAATATTTTTCTTATAATTACAGGTTAAGTGTCTACTAATACATGCTTAAATGTTCAATGTTGGGATTTATGTATTTTAATAATATTTCTTTAAGTAGGTTCTTCTAAGAGCTTTGATTTTGTTATAATCAAGCATTTAAGTTACCACCAGTAGTCAAAAGGAAACAAAATAATGAACATTTACAATGATTACTTCTTTTGTTAATTTGTTTATTCTATTTCCAATAAATTCTTATGCCCTTACTATGTGCTGGCACCACTCTAGATCACAGGCACAGTGGTAAACTGAAAAGCAGGCATTTTGTTCATGTTTTTGGAAATGACAGAGACAAACAAGTGAGTGAAATTATCCAGAGAGTGGTACATGGTGGAAAATGATGAAAGAGGATGATGTGAGCAGACTTCAGGAGTTGAGGGAGGGCTTGGACGTCGCTGGGCTTTCTAGGGATGAGCTCAGTGCATTCATGGCTAAGTGAATCAGTACAGCTCAAGGGTGGTAAGAGAGAAGACAGGACAGTTTAGGCCAGGTCCCACAGTTCAGCCCTGACGGGCTGGATTTGTAAGTACAGTACTAAGGAAGGCAATGGGAGACTAAAACACTGTGCCCCAAACACTAAAGCAGCACGTGATTTACACTAAAACAAACATTCCTCTGACTTCTGTCTGAAGGATAGCTTACCTATGATCGTTTGAGAATGAAGGGAGGAAATCCAGTGAAGACAAATGCGAGGGTTTAGAAGCGCTGTGAGGGGAACCTGGATTAAAGTAGTAATGGGAACTGGAGACAGGGGACAGACTTGGGCTATAGTTTTTCGTCAGAACCAAAGGCTGCTAGATGAAATAGAGTGGTGATAACTTCTAATGTTCTGGTCTTCAACAATACATCTTGATGGAATCACGTAGAAGTCCAAGTGAAACAGGTTGGAGGAACATAACTATTTCTATAAGAAAGTGTACCTGAACAACACAAAACTGCAGCTTTGATAACTAGTGCAATAAGCATCCTTAAAAAGAATTAATTAAACTTTCTGAACCAAGGATTTTGATTGTGCTGAATTTGTACCAGAGCACTCAGTGGCATATGAATTAATTCCCTCTCACTGTAACATTCCTCCAAGTGCTTTTTGTTGGTGATTTTTCACAGCATTATTAAACACATTGAACATAAACGAATCCAGGGGTGGGAAAATTAAGAATTTTACTTCATACCTTTACTGGACTGAAGGCAACCTACACTTAGTGGCTAATTATGAAGTCAGAGTATTATTTATGTTGTCCACAACACTTTCTCTTAACCTACTACTAAAAATTTGTTTCTCCCTCTTCCTGGAAGTGATTGAGGAAAAAAAGAAATACAAAATTCATTAAGTTATTTATTTTGAAGCTTGCTTGAGCATATGGATGCTCAGAATAAAAACTGAGTTTCCCAGTTTTCCATGCTATAAATGTATCACATAATTAAATTGTGGGTAGTAAGAAGGAAGTCTCAAAAGGCATATAGCTTCTAGGAAGGGTCCTCAAGAGAAAGTGGTAAGCCTTCTTCCCCTCTAAGAGTACAGCTAGGAAGTTTGCCTGAATTATCCACCTTTACCACTTCATTCACAAGAAAGAAAAATAACCTATCTTGTTTATGCATAGTCATTGGGAGATTTTCCATCCCTGGCAGTTGAAACATGCTTAACCAATATGCTTGTTCACAAACTTGTTGAAAGATTCTGGTAGATAAGGGATTGGAACTAATAGTTAAAACAAACTTCTGATTACTTTAGGGTTTTGTTATCTATTTGTTAACTGTTTTCTATTATTATGGATAATAAAATTTTACATTGTAGAGATGATCAGCTATTCCAGAATATATTTTTAAAATTCTCTTTCTCAATCAGAGGAAAAACTTAAATTTCCAGAGTCCCAAAAACATATTTATGACAGTGATCAAAATTATCTAGGTGTTCCACTGCCAACATGTTACTTTTCAGTTCTTGTCATTACAAATGTGTCAAACTGGCATTTGTGGTACAAAAATTAGCTTTAGGAAAAAAGTGACATAACTAATTCAGTGCTACATTATATTCCACACAGAGGAAGTGGGCCATTAGGAGAGCATTGTGAGAAGGCAGACTATAAATCCTTATTGCTGTGCAAAACCAGCCTGGTGCACTAAGAGGATAACAGCTTCACAAATAACACAAATCCAAAACATTACTATTTTGATAGTAGAAATTACATACTAAATAAATCATCTTGTCAGTCAACTGATAAAAAAACAAATATATGGTATGAGACTACCAACCACGGGCTGTCTGTGTCACTGTCCCAGTGAATGCTGCACTTGCTGTGAAACAAAAGTGTTTCTGTGACATATGTGAATGTCACAATCATGACTTGAGTAGTAATGTTAGAAGCACTACAATTATTTCTTAATTTCTCTAATTTGTTTTCCTGGAAAACAAATATCAATTATAACAACAATATATTACTGGTAACTGCATACTTTGATGAAAAAAATATCCTATTTATCTAAAGCAGCATTTCCCATAGCATATTACATATTAATAGATGTAATATGGAAAAAGTGGGTTCAGTAATCAGGTAAGATTAGAAAGCACTGGCTTAAGCAAAGGTAAACTATTCCTTTCTTTTAGCATATATCAAGGTAAAACTCCAAGAAGAAGACCAATAGCATCATTTTCTTATTTTGGTCAGGAACCCTCACTGTGCCCTAACACAAACTTTTTATAATTGATGTCCTTCAGGAATAACTTCTATGAATTAATTTGGGAAAATATTGACAAAATACATGCCATTTCAATATATATGTTATAATTATATTGGTTCAACTTGTTAAGGGTGCCTATGGCCAGAGGCCTGGTCTCACAGGGAATGCTGCTCCAATTTAAACAGAAGTAAGTAACAAGCAGAATAAGGTGCCTATAACATTACACAGGGTCCTTATCAATCTAACAAGGGCAAGTAACATGCAAAGATCCAAGCAACTGCTTTGTGGTCACATAAGCTCTCATCTACTATCACTGGGTTCATGCAGAATATCCACGAGAGGGACCCAAGGAACCTTCAAAAAGGCTTGCAAAAGGGAGAATTAGACTAGAAATAAAGAGAATCTAATGGGCTCATAAGATTGAATGGGACAGCCTGGGCCGATAGTTGCAGTTTAACAAGTCCTGACCACCAGTGTTAACGCCGGTGAGGACACAGAGATAAACATGTCACTCTAAGAGAATACTAGCTAGCTTACCTTTTCAAACCATTAGGCATCTCTGAAGCTACTGCTAAACTCCAAAACTGTTCAAGTGGGAGCTCTTTTAAGTCACAGACCCTGCTGCTTAAACCCAAGCCTGGGATACCAGAACATACTGGGAATATTGTAACCATCTTATTATTAGTGTCTTTTTACTAAGGTAGTGCAAAATCAGAACGGTTTGGGATTCCTGAATCTGTTCTTGTTGGCACTGTTTGAAGAAATGAAGAGGATGGAATGTTTCACCAGAAAATTAGTTTCTAATGAGTATGGTCCTAGCCTTTTGGATTTCACAAACCAGTAAAAATCAATTCCAGCAAAGTATTACTCTTCTCATTTTTCCAACTAAGAACAGTTTGAAAATAAAACCATGAAAACAAACCACGAGGGCAAGGTGGTGAGCATTTAAAATCCCAACTCTCTGTAAGGCTGTGGCAGGAAGGCTACAAGTTTGCCACACAGTGACTCAGTAAGATGCTGTCTGAAACCAACTAAGGGCGGTGAATGTAGCTCAAGGCCAATGATTCAGTTCCCAGTACCGAAAAACAACATCAGCCTATCCGCTATCATTTCCAGGAAACAATTTCAGAATTTAACAACTAAAGTCAGCTTTGTAAAAAGCATACCACAACTACTGACATTTGGGTATGGCTGACCCTTTATTTTGCAAAGCAATCCAGAGAGGTAAATGGCTTGTCCAAGCTAACCTCTGGGGGTGGCAAACGGAACTCATTCTAGCACCCTGCTTTCTTTGATTTTGTAGACAGGTACCAATGCTTCCAAAACATACTCTCCACCTTAGGGAAAATGTTTGAAAGTGGGGTACGAAGTAGTTAACCATAAACTGTGGGAAGATACAGGGTGGGGAAGCTCAGGATAAAATTCACTCACGGGAGGAAAAAGAGAACACGCAGTTGACACTAAGGAACTTTCAAGTCCTTACCATTACACAGCTGCCCAAACTGAGGTGCTGAAGCTCTGAACAGAAGTTCAATATGCTGAGCAGTGCTGTTTGCTGCCATCAGGGACCACAGCAGAGACAAACATGGAAAGTGAAAGGAAATGAAACAAAGAGAAGAGGTCAATTAGACATTAAAGGCTGTCACTGCTTTTCTGAAATACAGCTCAAACCTAGGTTACAGATTCCACAAATGCCATTTAATGAGTCCCCAGGTGCTCCAACCATTGATTGGCTTAGAGTCAAAGTAATCATTATTAATCTCCATCTAAATCATCACTTTGTATATGGTTTTGCATGCCTTAAGGATACTTATAGTTCCTGTGGCCTGTTAGTTTATTTCTCAGAGGTAAGCAATTTCAAAGTTTGGTTAAAAGAAGTACTACTATTACTACTACTACTACTACTACTACTACTACACCACACACACACACACACACACACACACACACACACACACACACAACCTACAGAGGCTGGTGACAATCATGAAATGCAGCAGCAGCACTGACATTCACTGATCAGCTGCAGCCTGATAGAAGTGCCAATAGAGTCACCCCAAATCAGGACTGAGCTGGTGACTTTAATGTCAAAGGACTGTCTTTACTGACAAGGATACCAACAACCATTGAGCACCTGTCAATGAAACATGCTGACTGAAATACATCTAACACTAGTATTTTCTAGTCATGTTCCTGCCATTTAAGCCTAAATAGCTTGTGCAACGAAAACACTCCCATCACTAAAGAAACTCAAAAATATGTGAGACCTCTAAATAATTACAGCACCTAAAATATTTTTAAAGTTCTAATATAATTTCATGATAATCGACTATGAAAAATTATAAAAAATAAAGCAAAGTAAATACTCAAATTTCTAGTTTTTCTTTTATAAATTAAGGAGAACATGAAACTTCATAGTAAAATTTCTTTCAAAACATCTGAACTAAATCACATCCAACAAAATAAACTATTACACAACCTCAGTCACATTTTTAGAAATTGAAAGGCAGACGTAAAAACAATGTTTATGACAATACAAAACATTTGGTAAATTCCCAGGTAAGACTTGCATTTTCACTGCCCTATTAAGCATTTCTTTAAATTTAAGCAATAAATAGTTTTTAGGGATTTTGTTTGTTACAACATAACATTTACAGGATAATCCTATGTAGCTCTCAGAATGTTAAGATTAGAAAGAATATATAAAGATTAATTAATTTTGAAGTCCTCCAAAATACACAGTCATTTTCTACTGCTATACAGGTATATCACATTGTTTGTTTTTATTAAAGTAACAGATCTTTACAATCAAGCTTACAAGATGTCCTTTCCCATGGATGATCTAGAACATGTTAGTTAATTGTGAAAATGGACCCAATATATCCTTGTGGGTAAGAAACTTTAAATTTTAAAAAAATAGAGATCTGAGGAAGATGGTGGAATAGTAAGCAGCAGAATGAACAGCCTCTCTGAGAGAAACAGTCTAGATGCTGAAATATATCATGGGGAAGACAGGAAGGAAGGAAGTGGATCCCCTTTAGGTCCAGGAAGGACCTAAAGTGATAATCAAAGCCCACAGAGAGAATAAAAACAAGAAAACTTAAACAGAAGAAGGCAGTAGCTGGCAGCATTTTCACCCAGAGCCGGAACCACCATGCGAGAGAAGCTGTTGAAACCTGGGGACGCACGGTTACAGTGAAGCTGGTGGCCGGCAACCCTGAAGGCCTCTCCAGGGAGACGCAATGGCAGAGGGGAGCAGTGGACCAGGAACTGCACTGGCTGGCAGTGAGTGTGGGGGACTCAGTCCTCTTGCGGGAGTGGGCAATTGGCCAGGGACCATTTTGAAGTTGGGCAGGATAAGCCTGGTGCCAGAACTGTAGCAGGCTTCAGTCACTCTTAGCTCGGAGCAGATTGGTGGAAATTACTTGGATTGAGTCCCACCCTTGTAGGCACTCCAACAGCCATCTCTGAGGTTTCCCTAAAACTATCGCCAATCAGATCTACCCTGCTGCACGTACTATATGTGGTAAGGGCTCCCTGCTTTTACTCTGCCCAGGAAGGAGGTGGCAGCCTGCTCTGGCCCTGCTTGCACTCCAGTAGTCACCAGCAGGCTGGGAAAAGCCCTACACCAGCGCACCCAATGGTCACCATCAGATATCCCTACCCAGCATGGACTAGAAAAAAGTAGTCTCACTTCAGAGACATTGTAGCCAACACAGCTGAAATGCTGGGGGCCCACTACCCACTTTCCAGAAGAAACCAGGAACATGACAAGAGGAAGAAAAGGCAGTCTCTGGCCTCCAACCCAAGCAGGACTGGTCCAGGAGATATAAACATGGAGATCAGCAGTTGCACACCTGAAGTTTCTGAAGTAACAGTAACTGAAGTAAAGAAACTTCATGAGGCTATAAAGGAACTGAGAACAGAAATACTATTACAGGTAAAAGAAGAGATGAGAAACATAATAAGACTTGATGAGCACCTCTAAAGAAGACATGGGTTGAACAATAAAGGAGCATAGAAAAATGAGGGAAACCTTCAATGAGGAATACAAAAGATTTAGAATACATGAAATAGATTCAAAGAGATTACCAGGAAATTAAAACCTCCACTGAAAGCTGGCAAAACAGCTTGAAAGGAACTAGAGACAGACTATCAAATCTTGAAGACAGGTTTGCAATGTGTGATCATGAAAGGAAAGATCTCTTAAAAATAACAAGGAATCAGGAAGTAACAATACACAGGCTAGAAGATGTCAAGAGGATCTATAACTTAAGAATAAAAAAATGAAACACAAATGAAATACAAAGGCTATTTACAGAAATAATTTAAAAAAATTTCCCAGGCATAGGAAAAGGAAATGATATTCAGATAAGTAAGGCATACAGAACTCCAGTCAGCTATAACCAAAATAGATCTACTACACCCAGATATATAATAATCAAGATGCCAGAAATTCATCTCAAAAACAGAATATTAAAAGTGTTCAGAAAAAAGAAATAGATCACCTATAAAGGAAAATCCATCAGAATCACAACAGACTTCTTGACATAAACCATCAAACCAAAAAGGGCTTGGAGTGAAGTACTTCAAGTCCTGAAAGAAAATAACCTCCAACCAGATTGATGTATCCTACAAAACATTCTTTCAAAATTGATGGAGAAACAAGATACTTCCATGACAAAGAATCAGGAAGTAACAATACACAGGCTAGAAGATGTCAAGAGGATCTATAACTTAAGAATAAAAAAATGAAACACAAATGAAATACAAAGGCTATTTACAGAAATAATTTAAAAAAATTTCCCAGGCATAGGAAAAGGAAATGATATTCAGATAAGTAAGGCATACAGAACTCCAGTCAGCTATAACCAAAATAGATCTACTACACCCAGATATATAATAATCAAGATGCCAGAAATTCATCTCAAAAACAGAATATTAAAAGTGTTCAGAAAAAAGAAATAGATCACCTATAAAGGAAAATCCATCAGAATCACAACAGACTTCTTGACATAAACCATCAAACCAAAAAGGGCTTGGAGTGAAGTACTTCAAGTCCTGAAAGAAAATAACCTCCAACCAGATTGATGTATCCTACAAAACATTCTTTCAAAATTGATGGAGAAACAAGATACTTCCATGACAAAGAATAACTGAAGGAATTCATGACCACCAAAGCAATCTGAAGGAATTCATAACCACCAAAAATTACTGGAGGACATTCTAGAAAAAAAAAAGATATCACGGTTTCAGGAACAGCGCCAGAGGGGGCTCACTGAATGGGGCAGACAGTAGAATGAAGGGGAAAAGTAGGCAAACAACAGCAGGGAAATCACATGGCAGAGAAGGTTGACCATAATCACTAATATAGATGGCCTCAACTCACCAATAAAAAGAAACACAGAGTGGATCAGGAGACAGGGTCTATCAATATGCTTTATATAAGAAATACATTTAACCCAAAAGGGGGTTTACAGACTGACAGTCAAAGACAAGGAAACAATGCTCTATATGACAGGGAACCAGAAACAAAGTGGAAGTAGCTTGCCCATCAGCTGCAGACTGGTTAGAAAGCCATGACACTTTTATACAATGGAAGATTACTCGGCTATTAAGAAAGAAAACCTTGAGGCTTTTGTAGACAAATGGATACAACTTGAGATCATGTTCAGGGGTAAAAAGTTTCAGAGTCCTTAGGTGAATAGCGGGTTGCCTCCCTAATATAAAAACTAAAGGAGTTAGTGGGATCCAAAATGTACAATACATCCTGTGAAAGTGAAAGGAGTTGTCTAAAAAGGGAAGGCAGTGGCCATTATTAACCTATTATGATTTGAAACCCATATTGTTTTCATTGTTCTGTTTAGTTTGGTTTTATTCAGTTTCAGTTTGTCTACTTATATTTAATGGCATGGACAGCTATTCCAAAGATAGTAGGATATATTATGGTAACCATTTTTTATTTCCTATTAGCTTCATTTGAAGCCATGTTTTGCTTTCACTGTTTTGTTTCAACTGATTTCATTTTATTCTGTTTTGTTTGATAGTATCAAGACTGATGGTATAGGCAACTACTTTGAAGACAATAAGATGTACTATGATACCCATTGTGGTTGGACTATTAACTTCTTTAGAAGTCCTATAATGTCTCACTGTTTTATTTTTTATTGGCTTTATTCTGTACTGTTTTGTTCAACTTTATTATGCCTGATGATATTAATTCTTTTGAAGAATTCTTTTGAAGAAGAGGCACTATAATAGCCATTGTTGATCTCCTTGTATTTTGTTTTTAAGTCATGTACCATGTTCAACCTTTTGTTTTGATTGACTCTATTCTGTTTTGTCTTATTTGGTTTTATTCTCTTCAAAGTAAAAATAAATAAATAAATATTAAAAATATTTTACACACATACAAACAAGACATGAAAACTGTTTGGTAATTTATTTTTAAATTATTTATTCTGAAAAATTCTAGCGTTCAGTATAATACCCATGTAGCCAGCACTCATATTTACCAACACTTCACATTTGGATTTTGCTTCTGTCTCTATTTTT